CTAATAAACATTAACTAGTGATTATACAAATCTATGTAAGTATGTGATCTAGAGGTTGTTTTTCAGTAAATATTTAAAAAGAACGAAAAGTAAAGCAAGTGAAGTTATTTGAAAATTCATATACATAATTCTATGTTACGTATTGTTTAAATTTTTATTCAGTTCTTGAAAACCCTACAGTTCGGTCAGGGATTACAAGGCATCAGGTAAGTACAAAATTTTGCACGGCAATTCGGTTAGTGTCTATGAGATACCAGGTATAGTAGCTGTCACAATAAGCTGAACGCCTCAAGCGCTCAATAAACCCCTATCCACAGCTTATAGATGCCATAAATTTGGGCCGAATGCCGCGTACCATTCAGTTAGTACTTAAGGGTGCCCAGTAGCAGACCGAAAAATGAGCTAAATAGATTTTTATTTTACGGGCGTAATTTCAACTTTGAAAAAAAGATCGACATTTCAATTGATAGATTATGTCTAAATCTCTGGGGAACACACAATATTTTTTAAAATAAGTGATTGTTTAGTGTTTAATTAATCGTTCATTCTTCGAAGGAATTTGCAGTTTTAGACGAGGAGAGAGCATTTTTAGCTTCAGCTTTTATATCAGTGCAAAGACAACATTGAGCTCTATGGGGAAGACCCGGTCTTTTTTGTTTAAAATTTATATTTATCAAAATATTTGCCTTTTAAAAAAATACTGAATAATGAAATTAAATTTTAAACTAGGCAACTCTATTTACAAAGGATTCGTTTCCATAAATGGTTGAGTTTGACACAGCTCAGGGAGCCTTGCCGACCGACCCTTTCAGGTAATCCGTCCAGGTACTTTCATAAACCGTCATGTCATAAAACTCATAAATACTTTTAGCTTAGGAACATTGTAAAATAAAATTTTTCTCTCTATCTATTTCGCTCTATCATATTATTTTCCCAAAATTTATCATCTCGTTGAATTAAGCATTATTTAACTTGGACATTTTATATATTTCTAAGATAGCGTTTTTGTTTATTAAGCCGTCTGGCGATGCCGGTAAAAATGTACAAACCGCATTGTCTTACTGTCAGTTTGGTGTTACTGCAAAATGCTTCAGTTGCCCTTGCTTCATTTTCTATGCAAAGATTTTGGGAGAGTACATGCCGAACTAGATTTGCAGGGATGTAAAATGTTCTTCACAGTACAGTAAGATTAGCCGTGTTACTTGTTCTCTCATTTTGCAAATTTTACCAAAATAACGTTCGGTTAGTCTAAAGGATTTTTCTGCGCACCATTCTGGATTATTGCGCTCGCAAATTGTGTTTTGTTCGATTAAAAAGACATCAAGGTTTGAAAGTTTTTTGAGAAATACTTTTTGCGCTGTGACATATCAGGTATTTCAACTGCCTCGTTATTAGATACATCGTCGCCCGAGAACTTGTATGATCCACAGACCGGAGCGCGCTCAGGCCAATGTCGACTCTATACTTAAGCCTCCAGAAATTCTGCGGGAAATAGTTATTATTTAGATGCTTTTGTTTACACACGTCTCACATGTTTCACTCGACTTTGACACTCAACTATTTTTTTTGTTTAACTAAGAATTAATACTTTCACTGCGTTTGATACTAACGTCCTAAATTAGCAATACTAGTGGAACAGTAATCAAGCAATAGATTTTTTTGGGAAAGTACAGTTAATTTTTATGTTTTAGCAGCAATGTGTTCTATTTTCTATTAATTTTTAGGTACATATTTTTAGTCACAATTTTGGTAGTTATTTTTTACTTTTATTTTTAGCAATAATAAATAGTCCAAACATGAAAAAATAAAAAAAAATTAAAATCGGAAAATCTAAAATTTAGAAATCGAGAAATTGAACAATCGTATAATTGAAAACTCGAAACATCGAAAAACTGGAAAATCGAAAAATTAAAAAAAAATGGAAAATCAGAAATATAATGAATTCCGAAAATTGAAAAACTGAAATATGCATAGAAGAACTGGAAACTGGAGAAATCGAAAAATCTAGAATTTTAAAAATTGAAAAATTAAAATATCGAAAAGTTGAAAAATTGCGAAATCGTATCAGTAAAACATCGGACAATTGAGAAATCGAAAAATAAGAAAATGGAGAAATCGAAAATTTGAAGAATGGAAAAATTGAAAATGTCAAAAATTAAAATACTGAAAAATTGAAACATCAAAAGTTGAAAAATCGAAAAACCGAAAAGTCGAAAAATCTCAATAATTATCTCAGGATTATGCTACTAAAAAATTGATAACATCATCTCAAAATTTTGCTGAATAAATTCTACTAAAAATGGGCAAAATATGATGAGTTTTTACTTGTAATTTATCATTGCATTCATATTTTTTTAGATTTGCTTATTATATATCTAGGTGGCTCAAAAAAATTAATGAATGAGTCAATTTATTCTATTGATTAAATCAGTCTCGACTCACTTCATTTTCCCAGAAATTTTTGGAATACTGTTATTTTTAGTCTAATCCACATTGATTTACGTGTCCTTGAAAAATGTTGATGATTTCATCACAAAATTGTGTACCTAAAGTAAAAATTTAACTCGAAAATGCTGGATATGTTTCATTGTATTTTAGGTGCGGGGGAAGTTCTGTCGAAACAACTTTCCACCAATTTTTCTTGCTGTTATATTTGAACATAAACAGTTTATTTTATATATTTTTAAAACATTATAAAGAAAATAAAAAGTTGTTTTAGACTGCACCTTGTGGGTTTCTCAATTTATTTTCCGCAGCATTTTAAACTTTCAAATCAATTTCTTTCAAAATAGATAGAAATTAGAATTGGATTTCGATGGTTATTTCCCTGTACCCTTCATTTCAAAATAAATAAGCTTATCTGGTGTTATTTACCGATTTGCATTTTATGACGGACTCCCTACAGTGACCATAATCTCTCCTCTCTTGGGTCGCTACCTGCCGTGCATCCGTACTTTGGGTTGCATAGTTACAAAAAATAATTCTTCTCACTGAACACGATTTTGCGGGCGACGACTGGGGACCCTTAAATAAGAGATATGCTGTGCCCAAACAGTGGAGAGGAATAAAAATTACAACCATCCTAATCACTTCAATGAATGGCAGCACGACCGTGCCCCAGGCAGCATTCGGTGTAATTTGACGGCCACAATAGTCCAAAAATTTTGAAGGGCAATTCGGTCCAGGATTAAAAATCCACCGTAGTTGGGACAGGCCGAAATTGAGGACCAGCTTTGCAGGGGTCGTTAAGCCGATCCATGAATTGCGGACCAAGCAAGGGATTAGTATCTTACACCGCGGGGGTCATTAGGTACCTATCTAGGAAGCGTAAGGACATCGACTACAGACACTATTGGATGATATTAATGTTTTTACTTTCTAACTTCTGTATATAAATAATTATCGCTAATGCTAAAAAATAAAAATTCCCCAAAATGGAAATTCCCATACAATCTTCTCAAAACTAAAAATATGAAAAAAATAGTGGACAACGATAGTGCTAATTTGTGCGTTTTAAAAATTACTACCTACATGCCCCGAGTTCTAATTGATACCAAAATTTTGGATGGACCCACCACATGGTACTAGGTAGTTACCATGAACAGAATTATGTTAGATTGTATATACTTATAATATTTTTGTTTTTATTTTAATAAATAATTTTTAAAGAGCTAAAAATTTTATTTACCTATAATGATAAATACAAATGATTTCCGGGTAGAAATTGAAGGATAGTAAGGTGGTAATAAGTATAAACCTTCTGTCGTCTTCTTGGCAGGTAAAAGATGTGCGAAAAGCGAAAAGGATTAAAAGATTACTGGTTCTCAATTTATGTATACTCACTCTTTAGTCCTGCTCTTTGTATTACATAATTTTTAACAACTCTCTATTTCCGTTGTGAAAATCAGAAGTTGATACTTCCAGAGATAGAACATCCAAATTCAAAGGAAGTTAGTTCTAACTACTACAGTTATAAGAAGATAACCACGGTAATAACCCTAAACAGTTGGCAGAAGCTAGTACGAATATAAATATAAATAAAATTGAAATAATGTGTATAGGAATAGAAGATGTGAAGATGAAATAAGGATTGAACAAATCGAAAAAGTAAAATATCTAGACTCAGTTCTGAAGGTGAAAAAATGAACAAATATGAACTATTAGGGATGGAATCATTAGAAAAGAAAATCAAAAGAAAATGGCTTGGATGGCGGAGTCATGATAAGAAAGCCAAGTGAAAGGAAAACAGAAGGAGTATGGGAAACCAAAGTTAAAAACAGTGGAAGAGGAGGGCCAAGGAAAACGTGGAATTAAATGATATCAAATGTGATAAAATGTGCGAGTACTTAGTGTCTGAAAAAGTACGGCATGTCTAGCAAAAGGATAGGAAAATGTGATACTGCAAGGTATGTAGAAGAGGGACTGGACAAGTAAGGAAGAATCTAAAAGATGTAATTTAGTATGGTAACATGAACTGTGCGAAAAGCGAAAAGTACAAAATAAAAACAAAACATGTTTTAAAATCTAGTTTATACTTTACAAAAGATTTCAGACATTCGAATTCAATTAAAAATTTAGGCAGGTCAATTATTATTGTCATTACACTGTGTGCATCAAAAGTAATATATTAAATTTGTCTCTACTAACAGGTTACGAGGTCATTACAAGGGTCATAGCAGACTCCCGTGGGACTTGTCATAAAACACAAATTTTATAGAGTTTAATTTGTTTAACTGACTGTACGTTAGGGGCAAGGTAAATTCGGTTTAAATATCTCAGCGCTCAGACCAGTTTAGATTTTTGCGCCAAAACATGTGACGTAACATTTTCTTCCACTCACTACCATTCAACAAAACGAAAAAACCCGCCACTTCTCCACGTCCAGCGTTTTCTCTCGTTCGCGCGCCCCTCCGCCGCGACCTCGTGCACCGTGCACCTGCAATTTTCCCAAAAAGTGCATCTGAAGAGCGATTGATTCGGCCGGCAGCAGCTACTCTTGGGGCAAGCGTGTTTCAGGTGGCCCCAACTCAATCCACTTTGCGGCTTCTTGCTCGTGTGGACCGACACAGTTCTGCTTTGGCCGCGCAGCGCGCCGCACCGAAAGCACACTTCACACTTGTCCGATGTGATTCGTGCCAGTGTGAACCACATCAACCCTCCGGACACGTTCCGTCACACTTTTCTTCGAGTGCAAGAATATTTGTGCCGAGAACGGTTTCGCTGTGTGGCGTCGACAACCCCCGACTCGAGGGGTGGGTTTGCATAGTGAGTGATAAAAAGAGGAAGCATGGAGAGGACGGAACACCCCCAGTAAAACGTGAGTGGTTAATGGGAGGAATTAATTGATTTTTTAACAGACTGTAAATATTGGCACTAGTTCAAGCGTCAGAAACAGCGGTGCATAATTCACTTTTCTTTACGTGTTTTTGCTGTGTTTGTGTTTCTTTGCTGGCGGTCTTTGATGTATCGATGGCTTATGAATAATTCGAGCTTTCAGTTTGATTTGTCATCTTTTTTAGTCGCGGGGGAAATTAATTTTTTGAGGAAAGGGGTATGCAGTTTCCAGGAACAACTTTAATGTCACTGAAAATTTGTTTACATTAAGAATTTTTTAATGTCGCAAAATCAGAATTCATTATTATATTTTTATTGTTAATTTAGTTACAGTTTAAACCAGTGCTACGAATAATTTAGTAAATTGTGTCAACGAGATATAGACACAATTTTTTGTTGGTCGTAGGAATGATAATAATCCTACAGTTTCATTGTCATATGAATTTCGTTTTTCGTTGCTTGTATAAAACATCCTTACAAATTGCTTCATTTAATATTTTTCATTTGAAACAAGACACTTCAGAAAAATTACGTTGGTATTGTACTGACAATGTTAAAAGAAATTGTTGCATTTTGCCAAGCAAATGTTGATATAATAAAGTTACTTTTTTAACATGTTTTGTAAAAGAAATTAGAACGTAAGTTACCACCATACTTTTAATTTTCCGTCTTACGTATTTCTGTTTGAAGACATATCGACAATAGTTGATTGATTCGATTCCTGGAATATTGCACACGTACAGTGTCATACATCTTTTAAACTATCCTCAAGAAGGAATATTGCATTATTTAAAGCCTTCTTTTTCTAAAATTTTTAGTTCTATAAAATATCACGGAAGGAAAAACCTGGAGGATTATGATTAGGTCTCCTATAAACATTATAAAGCTCCGAAAAGTTTGGACATAACTGTAACCAAAATCGTGTTAATTTCAAGTAAAAAATTAAATAACAATGTTTTAAAGACTCTGTAAGGTTTAGAAAGTGAATAAAACCAGTTCTAAAAGTTTATATTCCAAATTTATAATTTAAGGGAGCGGTATATTTAGACCCTTGTGATGATGTGGGTGTTACTACCGCTTTGTGAGCTTTAGAGCATATTTTGAACATTATTAAAATAAAACTTAATCCAACAAGATTATTTTAGAAGTTATTTTAAAGTGAAATCGATTGATCCTTTGACAAGTCTAAAACTCTGGATGGGTGTTTTTGTTTTATTATACAAGGTTGCTAAAAAGTATGGAAGCAGTTGAATATCTCGGGAACGGTTAATTGGATCTTCTTGAAATTTGGGCTATACTTAAAAATACTCAAGCTCCATTTTCTGTAATTGAAACTTTTTCTGGAAGTGGATAGGACGAAAGGGAGCAGTTGACTGGCCAGTTAGGTCACCTGATTTAGTCCTACTTGACTTTTTTCCTCCTAATATTGGAACAGATTTATTTGAAAACTTTGTACATACAACGTATTCACTATTGCCAGGAAGTAAATGGAAAACATTTCGAACATTTATTGTAAAATTATTGTTTTTTAAATGTTAATTTGATCTTTGTTCAATAATGTATTTTTTTTTAATTTTTCAAAAAGTGTTCATAACAATGTATTTACTATTTACAATCAATAAATCGGGATATTGTTATTTCTGGAATATTTTGTAAATTATTTGGAAACAGATTTAAATCAATTTACGTTGGCACCTTTGTTTCAGTTTATGTACTCTCAGTTCTATAATTTTTACAATGATTGAGTACTAGTATAATTTTTGGATAAAGTGTCCTACGCCAAGACTGTGGCAGGTGATAGTATTGTCAAGGTTAGCTACTGTTCGCGAAAAACGATTTTCCGATTTTCAGTATTTTGATTTGACAATTTAGAATTCAGAAAAAATGCACTATTTAAAAATGGAACTTTTGACTACGAGTGCTATTTAAAAAAAACAAGTTACCCCTTGCAGACTGTAAGGTTTATTAAGTGAGTAAAATCATTGCTAAAAATTTATATTCCAAAGTTATAATTTAAGAGAGCGGTATATTTAGACTCTTGTGATGATGTGGGTGTTACCGTTTTCTGAGCCTTCTAGTATATTTTGAACATTATTAAAATAAAACTTAATCCAACAAGATTATTTTAGGAGCTATTTTAAAGTGAAATCCAGTGATCCTTTGACAAGTCTAAAACTCTGGGTGGGTATTTTTGTTTTGTTATACTTATATTTAGTGATAAAAATGATACAACGTTCATAAGTCACTAAACTGAAACGTAATAGGTTCCAGAAAATAATAAAATAAATTGATAAACACTTCATATTTATTTTATACTTTCAAGAACACATTTTCTGATAACTGTAATAGACGGAGAATATACAGGAAACGCTGCAATAATAGCTCTAAATTCTTCTTGAAAATATGGAATGGTGGGTGAAACGTGTGTTCTAGAGATTTAAAACAAACTTCTTAGGCATATTTTTGGGATGATTTATCCATATTTTTTTGTTGTTGATGTCCGTTTTCATAACTTCTGTGACCTGTTGAATTCAGCCATATCGACATGTAAATCATAGACTAACTTAGAAGTGCGGTAAAAGTATTAAGTCCTCGGGCCTGTGTTCCACCCCTGAAAACAGTGAAAATAAGTACATATTTACAAATTTAATAAGTATATTATTGTATTTACATTTTTTGTAAGTGTAAAAAGAAAACGATGTCGTGTCCGACAGATGTTCGGTATATTTTAGGTTTAGTAGAGTTCGGGAAAATGGACACCTGACTCTCCGTTTTCAAAAATGGTTATTGGAAACCCTCAGTAAATCGCTTGGGATTAAGGTAAGGGTAATTTACAGCCCTGACCTTGTCTGCGGTTGCTTACCTGAAAGGAACAAAGGTTCTATGAAGCAGACAAGCTATAAAATGCCTTCTGTTTAAGATATTTTTAGAACAAACAAAACATAGGTAAAATTAATTCAGTTTATTTTTCACAGCGAAAGATCACTTGAAATTGTATAATTGTAAGAGATTTTTAAAAATAGAAAGGATCGGGAATTTTTCTATAAATCTCTTCCATAAACACCGTTAGATTCACTGTTGTTATTGTAATCTTTAATGGTCAAAGACCTCCGGTTCGGAAAACCCTTGATCCTTTGGGACAAGCAACCCAAAAGCAGACAACCGTTGTAAATCATCCCTACTGTTATTATCCTAAGCAGTTCATTGAGGGCTCCCAATAAATATTTTTGGAAACAGAAAGTCAGTGTTCACGATTTTCCGAACTCTACTCCTTTTTCAAAAGTATTAAGTATTTAAAACATGAAAAGTTGGGAAATCTGATTAAGTCCAGAACTTATTTTTAAACTGTGCTGCGATAATATATAATTAGGAGTATATTATAATTTTTCCATAAATCTCTTCCATAAACATCGTTAGGTTCACTGTTGATATTGTAATCTTTAATGGTCAAAGACCTCCGGTTCGGAAAACCCTTGATCCTTTGGGACAAGGTAACCCAAAAGCAGGCAACCGTTGTAAATCATCCCTACCATTATTATTCTAAGCAGTTCATTGAGGGCTTCTAATAAATATTTTTGGAAACAGAAAGTCAGTGTTCACGATTTTCCGAACTCTACTCCTTTTTGAAAAGTATTAAGTATTTAAAACATGAAAAGTTGGGAAATCTGATTAAGTCCAGAACTTATTTTTAAACTGTGCTGCGATAATATCCATTGTTTTAAATAATTATTAATATTGTAACAATTGTATTTTCAAGGTAATATCCCACAATATAGCGAATAATAATATTATAATAACTTGTAACACACCTCAAAAACTTAAATTTAATATTTATGAACGGAGGGCTTTTTGTTCGATATCATAAATTAGACGGTTTTGTCTGCTAAAGGGTGGTAATTTACTGAGTCCAGTGCTAGATTCAGCACAACGGGATTGCGATAAGTTTGTTAGGAACAGATGCTGCTGCATTTCCGACCGCTTAGACCCTAGTTTATTGAAATGTTGCCCAAGCCGCTGTAGACTCCACATCACCAAAAAATCGTAAATAGCGATAAATGACCCTCGAACTGTCGCCCACTTTCGTATTTTATTTTTTGGTGGTGTGATTTGCAAAATGAGATTGAAAAAAATCTCTAAATAGGAAAAAGATAGACATGTGATATTTATGTTCGTTATTTAAATATTAAATACAATCATCGACAAAATCGATTTTAAATCCGAGTAGATGCTGCAGATTCCTTGGTCAATAAGTACGTCTCTGTTTTGTACTAAACCCTTGTCCCGTTTGTAATTTCAAGGCAAACTTAAGGGCACCTATGGAGTTTGTCCGCAGTCAAGGTCCACCGTAAAATTTGATGGTTTAAATTTATTTTTCTTAGAACGTCTGAATTTGTATAATTAAAATATATTTCAACTGTCATCAATTTTTTGAAAGGGATGAATAGGTAAATTTATTAATAATGTCAAAATAATTCGCTGTTCTGCAGTTTCGGTGATTATGACTATGAGTATCGATATAGATAAGAGCATTGGCAATTATGAAATAAATTTGTCCAGTTTCCGAAAGCACGTTGGTTGGTAATAGCCAATACAGTCAATTAAAGATATCAGTGTCCAAAGGTTACACGCTTGGAACATGTTTTTTAATTCAAACCGAATTTAGTTGTTAAAGATCGCTTGTAAAGCTATAACTAAACAGGTCTGCCATGATGCGATATTCATCGTAGAATTTTTTAGTTTTAGATTATCTTGTAATCTGCATCGTTTAGGTAGTAGTTTTTTTTAACAGGCTGTGTGATACTTTTTCTCATGTTCACAACCTAATCGTTTAGAATTTACATCAGTTTTCTACTACATTTTTCTTCTTTTTTATACGTCAGAGAGAGTTAATTTGATCTGAGTATTTAATGGTTAAGGGGGCATCTAGCACTTTAGGAAAGTTTTTTCGAAAGGTCCCTGGTGTGAGTTACTGAAAATAAAATTGTACGTTCGTCACAATCACCCAGTTACAGTGGTTACTTCGCTTAGCTATTGCTCGGAAACAAATGTGTTTTGGCAAAAACATGCTTTCTATTTATTTATGGTAATCTAGTTTTGCTAACACTAATTTGAAAAAACGTAAACCATGAGTCGACCACTTTCAACCTGACAATTTTTCTGTTTCGTGGTGTTTTGTTAACTTGTTGGTGATGTAAAAGTGATTGCAGAGCCCCCATTTATCTATAAACTGACAAGTTTTTGAGAGGAATTGTCAGGAGTATGTTTTAATATAAAATGTGACATGAGTAGTAAGTACTCCTATCGATCCGTCTTTGTCTAGTTTTTTCAGATTTACATTGTGCCGCGTCTAAAAAATGTCTGAAGCCTGAATTTTTGCAATAGTCTATGTCGGAATGAGAAACTACTTGGATTCGTTTCCAGTTTTCATTTTTTGCTTAGGTTGGCGAGTGCGTAAATACGACTCTCGACACAATTGCCCAATCATGCCATAACCTACTCTTGACGAATTGCAAAAGAAATAATTGTAAAGTAAGAGCAACAATACAATTAACATGTTTGACTATTCGCAGAATTACTAAAAGCATTTAATTTTTTCCCACGAGTGTGATGAGCCAATCTCGGTGCTTACACGGAGTGAGGAAATTGATTCGGCTGACACTAGGATTAGCTACCTATGCTTTAGCAATTAGTGGCTTTAAGATTCGATGGCGCCTGCTGTTATGTGTGAAAAAGATAATTTCACCAAGATGACTCCACTTTTCTTTTAATAAAAGATTTTAATTTCGGCGGATTTTTCAAAAAGCGCGGTGAATTTTGTGGAACAAATTTTAATCCGAAGCAGAAAAAGCACAATAACGCGAGGCTTTCGGTGTGAATGGACGAAAAAACAAACTTGAAAAGATACGCTTTATGTATCGGCCACAATATTTTTTCAGCTTGATCATACAGGTTTTGAAGCGGTGTACATTTCATCACATCTCACTTACACGCAATAATGAAAAAATCTTGCGTGTACGATCTAGAATTGAGATCAATTCTATGCAGAATTTTAAAAAAGGTTATTATTTCTCGGAGGAATTTTTGTGTCAGAGATATAGTGTCCGGTTTCCAGCACAATATAAAATATTGCAACAATTTATCGGCAGGGAAAAGTAGTAAAACTGGATGGATAACTGGCGCTATTACGCTAAATATTTTATAAGAATTCACGCGACACATCTGAAACTGGCGCTGAAAGTTATTATGTTGTTGTGAGCCGGATGAAGTTCTCTTGCGCTAAATTTTAATAATGTATTTTTAATATCTCTGAAAAAATGTTGTAAACGCTTATTTTTTTTTACTGTTTTTTTTTAACAAATCAGCTTTTATATATTTTATAACAAAATGAATATATTTATGATTTTCGTTAAATAATCCAATTTGTTAATTAATTTGTTACAATTTAGAAAAGGACTCGTGTTACACAGTTTATTCCATTTTTATGGATGCAAACAAAAATATGTAAAATTCTATTTTAAGAGAAACTGTTCGTTACGTAATCGGATCATACGTTTTAATTTAATTATTTTTACAATCTTCTCTTTATTTAACGTAATCGTAATTCTTTTTGAATTTACAAGAATTCTTTTGAAACATCGGGAATTTATTACGAAGAAGTGTAATTTTTAGAAACCAACAAAAATTGCAGAATTTGTTGTAATCGTTGTAATTATTTTGCTATTAATTGCTAAAATAGTATCTTATAATTGGAATAATTTATTATTAATCAGCCACTTTACACATGTTACAAATGGCTGCACTGCTAACACTTGTCACAAGTAAAACTGAAGTGGATGTCAAATTAGTTGCAAATCTTGATCAAACTGAGTTCCGTTATATTAAGGGCCGGTTGCATAAACGCAAATCAAAAATTTGATTATTGTTAAATCCAGTTAACAATCATCAAGTCACATAATGCGTTGCTCAAACGCCAATCAGTTGATGTTCATCAAATTTTTTGATGACAATCAAATCCATACGTCAAATACAGAAATCACCAATCATCCGTTGCATAAACGCCAATCAAGGACTTGATTAGCATCAAAACGCATTTTGATTAACGATTAGTTAATTATCCGAAAAGCAGTAATTAAAGTTTGACAGCTGGCGGTTTTACAGCAATTCGACTCCTAAAAACCGAAAATAAATACAAAAAAGGTTCAATTAAATTTTATTCAGGTAATTTTAAATACATGTGAAATATACTTTTTGTTGTAACAGCTGTAAATTGTAGTTTACCTCAAAATGTCCGTGTCCTTAACGTTAACGTCCTCCAGTTCCTCTGACGATTCCGATGTTCCTGTTCCTAGAAGACCTCGAATTTTTCGAGACAGGTCCGACCCTTTCGATAGGTACGACGATATCGACTTTAAGCAAAGGTATCGGTTTTCAAAAAATAGCGTGGTGGAAATTTTAAATCAGATTGGAGACCGGTTAGATCCCTTGACAAACCGTAACAAGGCTCTAAACAGTAGAGAACAACTCTTGATTTGTCTCAGATTCTATGCAACAGGAGCGTTTCAACAATTAATTGGGGACTCTGTTTTGGTACATAAATCAACAATTTCAAGAATAATCTACAAGGTCTCCAAGGAAATACTGCGATTGAAGGGCGACGTGTTGAAAATGCCTACCTTGCAGGAAATACCAACAATACATAGAAAATTCTTCGAAATCCGGGGTTTTCCGTGTGTCATAGGGGCAATAGACGGTACGCATATACCAATCCAATCGCCAGGTGGACACTTGGCTGAAACTTATAGATGCCGAAAAGGTTTTTTTTCGCTCAATGTCCAAGTAGTTTGTGACGCGGAGCTTCAAATACGACATATCATAGCTCGCTGGCCAGGATCTGTCCACGATTCCACCATTTTTAATGACTGTCCGTTACCTCCTGAATTAGAACGAGGCATGTATGGCGCTGGATATCTTCTTGGAGACAGTGGCTACGCATGCAAAAGATATCTTTTGACGCCCTTCATTAATCCAAGAAACAGGGCTGAGGAAGCATATAATGCTTCCCACAAAGCGACCAGAAACACAGTTGAAAGGTGTTTTGGAGTTTTGAAACGTCGCTTTCCAGCTTTGTCTATGGGATTGCGACTAAAAATGAAAACTAATATGATGGCAATCGTCGCCTGTGCAATTTTGCATAACCTGGCAATTATTTTTAAAGATGACTGGCCAGAAGATCACCTTGAAATTGAGGAAGACGATGAAGTCATAGGTGGTGACCCCATGGAAGGAAATTTTGCTATGAGAACTCACCTTGTAAATACTATATTTGCAGAAAGAGTTTAACAAAAATGTTTAATAATGATTATTATAAAACTAAAAAAAAACTCTTCGATTTCCAATTATTGAATTTGAATTTTCCAATTCGATTTCTACTTTTTTAATCTGCAAATATTTTAATTGTAAGCCTTTTTGAAAGTTTTTGTTTGTGTTTATTTTGCAAATTCACTAAAAATTATTTTCATTTGTATATTTTTTATTTTTTATTACACTGTTTTTCTTGGAAAGGGGGATTTTATTTTTCTCGTTCGGAATGGAGGAGGCAGGGCTATGAGGTTCAGGATTTCCTGGAAAAAAAATGCGTTAAAAACAAGTAAAGTTATTGAAAATATATCTCGTTATGAGAGGTCAGATTTATAAGATCATGTATGCATGACGATTTGTCCTAGTATACAAACCGAAGTATTGTGCTGTATCTGTTTTTTTTCACCTTTTTTTTGTAAAAAATCAAATCTTCATCTATTATATTTATTTGTCATTTCCAGCTCACCATCACCCACGTCTGCACTCATACCTTCATCCCTGTTGTCTGTTTTAATAGAAATAAACGCTTCCTTCTAAAAATTAATAACCACATTGTATAAAAATATTGTAGATCCAGCTTGTAACTTAATTTTTTCAGCCCTTTCCTTTTTTAAGTTTTGTGTCGAATTTTGATAGTCTGAACATCCCTAGGCCCCTCAATGATGGTAACATTGAATTCGTCTTACATGATCTCTCAGCAACATTCTCTTCTTGTACAGAAACTGCATCTGTTTTCTAATATATGGGCATATCTACAAAAGAGGAAACCGGATAAGAACAGGCAGGCACGAGAGAAAAGATTTTCCGTTGATAAAAGTGAAATTTATGCTTTGATAACGCGGTCTAACCAATTTTACTAGTAACTTATGTGTTTTTAAACGTACTTAAAAACTTACCTCAGAATTATTTGTACTGAGTTTTTTGATGGGCTGTGAAATTTTTCGACCTTTCCATAACTTTGGTACTATCCATCGTGAACAATTTTCAGAGGAACAATAGCCCAAGAACAACAACAAACTTTAACTTCCACCATTAACGATCACAAATATTTAACATAATCTCAAGATGTGACGCAAATATTTCGCCACATGCTAGTCCGTTGGCCAGGATCTGTCCATGATGAATTAAAACAGGATATCTTCTTGGAGATAGTGGTTACACCTGCAAGAGATACCTTCTCACATCTTTCGTTAACTCTAGAAATCGAGCTGAGGAAACATCACAAAGTTATCAGAAACACAATTGAAAGGTGCTATTGAGTTTTAAACTGGCGATTTCCAACATTGTCGATAGTAACCAATATGATGATCTGCATTTGATGATGGTGAGTGCGCGGAATTATATCTTACTGCTGCAGTCCCCCAGTTGAAGTAAGGTGTGTTTTACGGCGAGCAGTGGGGACTCTTTGATGTGGTCCATCACCAGTGCGTCGCGTAAGGAGTATTCACAGCTGATAATAATACTACTTTTGCAGTACTATATTACTTCAAATAATAATACTCGGTGTCCTTTTTAATTTTTCAACCACAGTTATCTTGAAATGTTATATTATGTTGATATAGTCCAAAAGGAAAATATATTTGTCGACGCGGCAGCACTGGGTCGAGCGCCTGAGACTTTATTCCGCGCCTGGATGATGATGAAAATATCATGGCGACCTGGAAAACAAATTTACGATGAAAACTAATCTTGTAAATACGGTATTTTCTGAAAGTTTAATGAAGAAGTTTAATAAGTATTGATTCTAAGAATTTATATTTAAACTAAAATTAAAACTAAAAACACCCTATCTATTGATTAATTACTATTAACAAGTTTTTCTAATTCTAATTCTGCCTTCCTAATTTGTAAATTTTTTAATTTTAAATCCTTCTGAAAAAGTCTTTGCTTCTGACGAATTTCTAAATTGACCAAAAATAATTTTCGTTCGTAAATTTTCTGTTTAATATTTGAACCGCTTCTCTTTGGAACTCGGAATTTTTTTCGGCGGATTGGAATGGAGGAGGAAGGATTTTGGGGTTCGCTGTTGTTAACGTTTCCTGGAAAAAAATCTGTTGTAAAACTAAATGATTTTTTTTAAATCAATCTCAATATCATAAAAGATCATATTAAAAAGATGCATGACCATTTGTTCCAGTATACAAACCAAAATATTGTGCCCCATCATCAAAACTGTTTTCTAACGGCTGGAGTTGATCCGCCAACAACTCTCCCAAAATTGCGTCAGCTCCTGTTGGCAAAATGGGGCTGTAACTTCCACCTCCTGTTTTTTTTGTCTTTTTCTGTAATATTTCGAGTGTCATCTATACTCTAGATATACCTACAATATGGTAACCCATACCTTTTCTATTGTTTCCAGGACCTGTAAAGCTTCCGTAATTTCCATTTCTGGTTCACCTGTGTCCTGGGAGGTTCCCTCACCTCTGTTGTCCAGCTTATTTTCCAGGATTGAAATATATGTTTCTTTCTAGAAATTATTAATTGTGTTGTAAATACTAAAATATTGTACATTCCATTTGTATTTTACATTCTTTTCAGCCCGTTCCTTTTTCAAACTTCTCTTGGTATTCTGGTAAAAAGTCTTGAGCGACTGAACATCCCTAGGTCCCTCTGTAGTGACTGCGTTAAATTCGGTTTTTATTTCCTCCCAACAATTCAGTTTTTGTTTGACGGAAACGGCGTCGGTCTTCTTGTTTTCTATTATATGGGCATATCTATAATAGATGAAACGGGATAGGACCAGGTACGGGAGAACGGAGTTTTCGTAGCTTTATTAATAAAAGTGGAAGAGGTTTAATAAAGGAATATATGTATAAATGGGATCGGGAAACCTCATTGTTTGAGATCCATTATAAAAATAACTTCAAAGACTTTTCAGTATAAAAAATGAATGCAAGACACTGTTTGCTAACTGTTTAATAATAATCAAACTCATTTGCTATTAACTAACCGCTGTTAACCACTTTTACTAGAAACTTCGGTGTTTTTTAACATACCTACCTAAAAACTTACCTTTGAATTATTTGGGTTAATTCGCTTTTCTCGTGCCCGGTGAAATTTTTCGATCTCTTAGGTGCTTTTGAACTGGAGCTGCTCATCTTGAATGTTTTTAAGAGATAACACACCTCAAAAACACCGACGAAGGCCGCACCAATTCACCACAAAACAACGAATCAAAACGTAAATTTTTAACATAACCTCAAAATATCACGCAAATGCCATTTTATGCTGCGTTGCCGGTTGGTGCGCGCTATCAAATAGCGACTTGATGATAATCAGTTAACAAAGGCTTAATTATTGTTTCAGCAACCCAATCAAAGTTGATGATAATTAAATATTTGATGACAATCAGTTGATTGGAGATTTGATTTGCGTTTATGCAACCGGCCCTAAATGGAATCCCGTTCAAATGAGACCCTTAATTATCAAAACTTCAGCAGTAAACTGAGCACAGTGTTAGGCTCTGTTGTATGTTAATATGTAGTTAAAATTGACTAGATTCTCACTGTCAAATATATGACAAAAACGAAACAAAGTACGAATTATAAAAAGTTATGTATATACGGGGTGTTTGTTAAAAATACGGCAAACGATCAGGGGGTTATTCCTTAGATTATTTTAAGATTTTTGACCTTGGATGATTTTCGGAAAGACGCGTTGCTTCGAAGATACTGTGTGATAAAAGTAAAGTAAAAGTACGGTATATAAGAGACTTGGATTTTTAATTTGAAAACATAAGTGTACACGACTCAGATATAGAGGTATATAATGAAATAAGAAACAACCTGGAAGTTTTAAAAAAGTTCGGCAGGCCATGAGGAGATTAAGGATCTTTACATTTAATATGAAAATATAGAAATTTAACAAACAGTTTACGTTATTTTTACGGATTTTTTCATGAATTCATAAAATGTTTTTGTTTTCGAAAAACTTTTGTCGCCTTGTTCTTTCGAAATGAAGCGTCTTTCAAAAAATCCTTAAAATAACGCAAAGAGTAACTCTCTAAATTTTTGTCGTCTGTTTAATAGACACCCTGTATATTTAGAGGCTAAATTTGGTTAGTCATCCGACACAAGTAGGTCGTTTGCATGTCTTAGAGAATCCTAAAACTCTTCTTTTTGAGTCAGATCTGTGTAAATAATCTGTTAATCTAAGAGTGAAAATTGAAAAGGTACCACAAAAGTCTGTAGCGACATAGACAATTCATCAAAAGGAAAATATATGATCGTAAAAAAACTCTTGTAGTAGGGTGTGCAATTTATTTTTTAAAATAATGATGTTGGCATGTCAACAACAACAAAAAAAATTTCAACATAATTATTTTAAAAATAAATTGCACATCCTATTAGAGAAGTTTTTTTCGATCATGTCTTGATTGTTTCTATATTATTGTAGCTATAATTATTACTCAAAAAATTGGTCAAAAGTTCTTAATACAGAACTTCCCTCTGACAGCTTTTTCGAAAAATTATAAGATTTAATTTTGGGAATTTATTTTCTTTAATAATAACCCCTATAACTTAAAGCAAAGGTAAAGAGTTCCAATAATAAATTTAGGTGCAGTGTAATACTAATAATAAATAACAGTACTGTATTGCCAAATTTTTGGGAAAATGAATTAAACTGTTCCTGATTTAATCAATTAATTTTTGGGGGATAAACAGATATATTGTGATTAAAAATTAACCACGCTAAGTTTAAAACGTCTGCAAGATTTCAAAGCATTCGGTTTTTCAGTTTCAAAAATTGAATTCCAAAATATTATACAATTTTGATTTTTTTTTAAAAGATCTGGATGTCTTTGGTACAAAGTCAACACTATACACACGTAAGAATATGTTATTTTATAAAACTTAAAACCCATTTACTACGCCTAATTTTGAGGTGACGTCAACACATTCGTGCGAGGATGATTATAAAAGTTTGGGTAGCAATTTATCATCTACACGATATCCATAAGACATATAAAATTTGATAACAATCCGTCCAGTAGTTTCGGAGATCATATGTCTAATTAAAATTGGCATAGACGACAGACAGGCAGAGTGAAACGGGAGACCACTTTTTTGTACTCTAGAGAGTCTTGAAACGTCGAAAAAATATGAAAGTGGCAAATCACCCGATGGACTCGATTGCAACATTTCTTTCGCTTATGTTTGGGAAGTAAAAATGAAAGTGAATTAAGAGAAAAAAGTCAAATTCAAAATGTCTTCCAAACATGGACAATTTTTTTAAGATAAAGGTATTGTGAAACAATGATCAGAGGGAGAATTTCAAACTGTTTTTTTTTTTGGAAAAGCCACCAAATTCATTTTCGTTGTAAAAACTTGTGACCTTTCGGAAGTTCTGGCTTCCTCGTGAGCAATGATGCGCCAGACTTTGGGATGAAACATTCGGTCGGGTAAACTCGGTCTGAGAATCGAGCGAATCGGGGCAAATAATCAGCTGTGCATCGCTCCACAGTTTGGATACAAGGTCGTTGCGTACGGCAATGATGCAACTGAACCTCGCGTAAGAGAGATTAACCGTCTACGGTACGAAAAAGTGTTTTCTTTAAATTTACGCATACTCAGCGGCCTTCATTGAATTATTTATATGCGAAATTACCTGTTAATAGATGGATAATCGAAATATTATTTAAATTGTTTTCTATATGAATCGATATCGTCCAAATCTATCGAAATTAGTAACTACAATAGTCAGATGCAGTTCTAGATTTTACTGAAAATATTTTTGCTTTAAGTTGGACACCAAATTCATCTGATAGATTTTGTAAGTGATTAATAGTGGTACTTCGTTCGATTGGGCCCCACGTCTCTGGGGACTAGTGGTGGGAGTCAATAATTTATTTTCACTAATTTTAGTAATAATTGTTGTTCGGAGTGATTCAGTGATTGTGTATGTAAGTCACTTTTTGTATTTCATATACCTATATATTTGGTGCGAGAGAATAAATAATATTTAAAATTTGAAAGCATTTTTTTTCTTCTGGGCAGTGAATAATTCTGATCGGTCAGGTTTTGTAATGAAATGCTAATTCGGGTAAACTCGGGTTGGGAAGACGAGCGAACGAGACAGAAACAGTCAGATGTGCTTGCTTGAGTATATTAATTTAAACATGTCAAATATAAATATGTTTTTGTTTGATATTTAGACAGATATTGTTGTTTCTTTCTTAGATTAATATAATATAATGTTGACGAAAATATTGATCTACAAATTGCATTAGGTGTGCTTCAGAAGCGAAGGAAATTCTCAGGGTGTAAATAACTCACAGATTTTTATTTTTTGCCTTCCAAAAAAACTCAACGTACTCTGCTTTTATTTTAGGCAATTTACTCGTACGTTGCTTTTAAATAAATGAAGCGGTGTTTTTTGCCAGCCGAGCGCTTAAAAAATAAATGAGTTTAATTCACAGTCCGGTCCTTTCTTTTTTTTGGAAAACCCGTGGCCCCATATTTATTTAACAGCATGGCACTCAGGTGACACTGGTCGTTTGTCACATTGGCAGACATTTTGTTGGACACTTGTTTTATTAACGGTTACACCTGCAGCTTGGAAAATTTTTCTTCATCCAATTTGTGTCTGTATCAGTTAATTTTTGTGGCTTCCAATTAGGAAACTGCTATACCGAAACTTTTAATTGGACACTAAGTGCCGCCACCACTCAAAGAAAATAAATAGCATCCAAACCCTTTGTAATTTTTCACAAAACGTGTAGCAGCATAATAAATGTAATTCGTCTTCCACCACAATTTTGATTCAATAAAATATCAATTTCTGGCGGTCTCAGCAACTCTGATCAGTTCGCACGACAAAAGCGTCCAACTTCTTAACACTGCGAACTTTTCCGGAAGTTCTTTAATTAGTTCAGTACATGACAGGCGCACGTCCTCTGCGACATCCCGAGAAAAATAAATCCGAACTAAGGTTTTTATTGTGGATCTTTATATTAGAACTTGCCAGCGGGTTGTCTAGAATAACACGGGGAAAATTCCCTCGACCGACAGGAAAATACCTGTGGCTTCTATTATTAGCAATCCATGTTTTCAAAGTGTTGCTGAAAAGGTCGATGGTCAAATAGATTAGGTAATTCGAGTGTAAATGTCAGCGTGAGTTAATTCATCAAATTAAATTTTGAAAAGGTGTAAATCAGTGATTGGAAACTTTCGTTGCTTGGGGTGACGTGACCGGACAATGACAGCGGTTTTACTGTATGTTCATCACACGTACAAAGGAGTTTTATTGGTGACAAAAACGACAAGTTTCTGCTAGAACGTTGGGAGAAAATTTGTCTCGCTATGAGGTTTTGTCACTTAGATAGAAGACGCAGATTTTTCTAGATTTATGCAGTGAATCAGTTTTTAACCACGAAGACTACTCAACAATATTTTCCCGTGAAACGATAAGAGTTGAGTTGTCGGTGTTGGGAAGGAAAAACCTCTGGAATTCTCACGTTTACGTTAACAAAGGAATTTCACACCTGTCCTTTGGAGGGACGGTTAAAAATTACCTGGGCTGGGGGATGAACAGGTATTGTTGATCGTACGCTGAACTAAATAAAATTCTAGGCATACCTAAACAAGGCAAGTCATCGTCCTTCCATAATATCGAGTATTACTTGTGTACACAGCGTTTCACCAGTGGCAGAAGCATTAATATATTTTGTGTGTCAAGTTTAATTGCTCGAGTTATTTATGTCTCGTAGATTATCTCATTTTAATAATAATTAATTCCAGACGTTTCGCATGATACATTGCATTGCATTTGCTCGCACCGTGGGTTATTTTTCCAATTTACCACTAATCCCCTCACACTACGCAAAAACTTGAATGCTGACCTAAAATCCAAATGCGAAGCCGCATATTAATCACGAAAATTTTTACAGAAAACAGGACAATTACATAACGGTGTAATCGTAGCCAGTTTCTGCGAAGTCTTGAAATTATCGTTTAGAAGTTTATGGTCTTGTTTAAATAACATCTTGGTTTATCTGTTTTGCGAACGTTTTTGCCTTTAATTGCAAAGTGAGCCTTAATGAAAATTCATTTGCTTGAGTTAGCACTCGTCCGATGACAGTGTTCGTAGCTTTAGCGCTAATTTCCACTAATTACGTTAATTGTTCCCATTAAGATCTTTGAAAATTTCCGAACTATGACATAACGAATTTTTCGGCTTATTGTTTGTACATGCAAGAGAAGAAAATTGCAATTTTTATAACAAGATTATGTTGTAATGTGTTGTTATTCGTCATGCATCACGTAATTGGTCGTTTCCTTGTTATTATTTTTCCATATAAATCTGTCATTAACGTGTAATTAGAGCTACACAATGGATTCTTAGACGATTCCGGATTTTTTAATTTAAACAATTCGGTT